ACACTGTTTAAAGAGAATCCTGATGGGATCGGACAGGCCAAAGTTATCTCTGACCCTGAAAAATGTGGCGGGGGCTTTGGACATGAACCAACAATGAGCTCATTTCTTTTTGGGAACAAGTAATGTCGCACCAATCGGCCACTTGTTGTTTTTGCGGGCCGCCCTGCCTTCACTAACACCTCACTGTTGATGCTGATTCATGGCTCCTTCTGAGTTACATAACATGCATTCATGCTGGCTGGCACATGAATGCAGGGTGATTGTCTGAGTTGTGTGCGAGCTTGTTTCTGGTCGGTTGCTGGCCTCTTTTGGAATGCTCACTAAACAGACGTAGTTCCTGTTCACGTAACTTATGTCAGTGTAATCACAGTGTCTGTTAAGACGCTGATGGCAGTGGCTGTTGGATTTCTGTGTGTGAGAAGTTATAGATAAGTTCAGAAAAAAAAAGTGTAAGCAACTTTCTCAGTCAGTTTCTTCTTTCGACACTCAGATGGTTGTAGTTGCATTTTATTGTCACTTTGTTGAGGCTGTTGTAGGTCAATAACCTGAAGTTAAACTCACCAAAACACGCAAACGTATCATTAATGTGTCTGGCAGTTAGTGGTTTTGAAGCTTTTGTTGTCTTAACAAAAATCTGCTTTGAATTCTTGCTGATTTTCCCTTTTTACGTGGTTTTAGGGAATAATGGAAGTAGTTGAAGGGACAGTACAGAGTTCTGCAAGTGTTAGAAGAATGATTTCGCTTTTTTCTTGAAGATCTTGTTACATTTGTATTCCCTAAACTTCATACACATTCCTTATAAAAACTTTTACAAAGCATCATTTACATCAGCTAATGCATTCCTGTCGATGTGAAATTGTATGAAAGTCATAATACTTTAATTGTACAGACATGGCCAGATATAAATTCCAGTTGTATTTACCAACACATTGGCGGAGTTGACATGCAGGTTGTAGATGATTTTTTTCAGGAAGTGAGAGGATCCAAAATTACAACATTAAAAGTATTGGCTAATTTAGCTTAATTAGCATAACTGATTAATATTTTGGGATCAGAATATCTTTTAAAAAAAAGGCTCCCTTAGTAGCATTCTGAAACTTTCAAGAGCTTTGGGATTTGTCTTATTAATGTACTAGGCAGGGCTTATTTCTTATATATTCAGGATTAAATAGCCAACAATCCCTGGGTATTATGTACTAAGAGTTTAACACTTACAAAATCAGCTAATCTGCCACATCATCATCATGTGTGTCTATCAGGTTTGATCAAATCATAACCAGTCACCTGACAACATTCAAACAAACCCACAGCTGTCATGACTCTTGCTAGGCTCTCATTTGTGGACAGGAATACACTACACCTCTCCTTTGTGAAATGACCAAAACTCAGACTTTAGCAGAAAATGTTGAGTTCGTGTCAGACCTCATCACTGACAGTCGTAAGCTGATTGAGAAAATAGGATTTAGAATAGAATGCAAATGACTCCCCTCACCCAGATGCTTGTAGCATGCATGTCCATCCTTTCAGGTTCAAACGACATATGGTCCTTCTCCTTATAACATTTCTGTACAGAACCTTTAGTGGTCTGAAACTTCCTTTTACCTTTTTAACTGTAATAAACTGTCATTGCATAACTGAGCAGTCCAGCCCTACGTCTCTATTTGGAAACTGACTTTGGTTCACTTCTCCTCCTTTTCAGAGAGCAATCAGCAGCTCTGCAGCCAGTCGCTGTTCATCCGGACAGAGCAGTCACAGATAGAGAAGACTTCATCAGGCCTGACACACGCAGATGCACCTGCCAACACACCTGCACAGCAGCAGCTGCAGATCAGTGCGGCGGAGCAGAAGAGCCGCATGGACCTGCAGATGTCTACAGCGCTACATGGTACACACACCTGCCTTAAAACAACTCACGTATTGTTGTTGTGTCACACATTTTTCACACAGTCCCGTTTGGCTCCATCATCCAGCAAGGATCTGGCTGTGTGAAAACTTGTATATTAAGAAAGAGACTCATGCTTTGAGGATGTAGGTCAGTCCATTTTAGGATGGTATCGGTCTCCAAATTTAGGTCGTCATCCCTACTTGTAACCTTTCTGATCCGTAAGAATAAGAGTTGCAGCTCGGAGGGAGTCACAGTTGAGTTAAAGCCCTTAATAGACGCACTACAGTCAGAAAGTACTGAGACAGTGACATGGTTTTGTTTTGTTTTGGCTCTGCACTCAAGCACATTAGATTTCATTGACTATGAAGTGAAAGAGCCGAATAAGATGAACTGTGCAGCCCCTTTTATGCAGTATATAGTCCTTCAATTTTAGCGGACAGAAAGTAATTGGACATGTCAACAAACTAAGATAAAGTCATTGTTTATTAGATATTTGGTGTAAAATTGTTATATAGTATATTTATATATAGTCAGTGACTATCTGATATATTTGACCCAGAGACATTTGCAGTCAGCACTCTATTACAGGCTGCAAATCCAACAGACCAACGTTTCTACACCACTGTGTCCTAATCAGAGTCTCTATGGACGAAGACATGTATAGTCTACCTAGAACAGACGCACATTTGTAATTTGATAGCTGGTTCAGCCGAATTTCAAATCTATTGGATGATGGACTGTAATCTCATTACGAACAAAATAGCAGAGATATATTGTAGGATTACAAAAATCAAGTTCAAACTACTGCATCCATCAAGTATTATCAATTACAGGAAACATGACACTGTATCTTCCATACCAGGCCTGGAGCCATCTCTGCTCGTCTGGAGGGATTTCTGCCTTCAGTCTGGTCCTCAGCAGTGAAACACACGATCAGTTGGATTGAGATCAGATAACTGATGTTTTTATGGCCACTTTTTGGCCATAAGAAACCACTTTAGGATAATTGTCCTGCTGCATTATCGTAAAAGTGCTCATTGTCAGATTTAAAAATCCAGTGTGCAGAACCAAAAAATGATAAACACCGACTGGGCTGGAAAGCTACAGTATGTTAGTGTTTAGTGTATGTTAAATCTGATGTTTTTGCAGAAAGGGAGTGATAGTTATCTAACCAGATCACAAGGCCATGGTTGGCTTGCTAAAAATGTACCCTCTAAACACCAAATTGATTCTTCAGTGGTGAAGTGATAGTATTACCGTTGGTTTAGAAATAGCAGGAACTTTTCATGGCTATTTATGTCCAAAATATGTCCACCTGAATGCCATTGTCCTTATGGGTTTCACACATACTTCATACATAAACCAGGCAACTGGTGGAAAACATGGCCGCAAACATCATCATCATCATCATCATCCTCGATTCCTCCTGACGAGCCGCTCACGCTCCCACCTGTCAAAACACGGGAAACCTGCTGAATGACTCTGTTGCTACTGAGTACGCACACGCCAGTGTATACAGTACGCAACTGCATACATGTTGATACACGAACAGAGACACTCTCCCACACACACACACTCCCAGCTGTCCCCCGGAGCAGTGAAAGAGGCCCTTCCATCGGGGCAAGTCTTGGCAGATGTGCTGAGTGTTCTGGCTCTCGGCTGGTATTTTGGTTTTGGAGCTCTGTATTTAAAATGACTGAGATACTTCAGGGTTTGGGGAAACTTCCAGTGTCTCGCTGACAGATTGCTTTGGAAAGAACATGAGGCGGACACTTAATGGCTACTTCCCGCTTTGCCAAAGCTCTTGATCATGTCAGAGGGCTTTAGTGGATCATTCGGGCATTATTATCAGCCATTTGTAATGAACTGACCCGGCTTGTTTGTAAAGTTGTATTGCTGTTGACTGCAGGATACTTTGAATGTTGCAAAGGGAGTTATAAGATTAAGATGTTCATAAGAAAAAATACTGAATAAAATGAGAAATAAACTACAGAAAAAGAGATGAAAAATAAACTGTTTATAGAAACTTGACAGCTCTAAGGTGCAATATATATGTGGACAGTTTATATGTTAGATACATTTTACATATAGGATTGAACTAAATCAACAAAAAAAGCATCTGTTTCCTCATCATTAAGGGCATTATAGAAGCTATGGACATATCTAAAAGTGAAAGAAACAAAGTTTTTAAGATCCATAAACTCATGCTTTGGTGTTGGCACACTGTGATCAACTACATTGTTATCATTCTGTCTAATTTATTCTGCCGTGTTCACTTTTCTCTCCTTCAGGGCAGCCTTGCAGCCAGAACACCCTGAAATCCATCATGAAGAAGAAGGATGGCCGACCCGACTCCAACGGCACCAAGAAGAACCTGCAGTTTGTTGGGGTGAACGGAGGGTGAGTCTGAAAGTATATTCATAAACTTGAACTTGTATTTAGTCATGTAATTAATATTTAAGTAGATAATCTTTTAATATGCATTTTTAGTACATGTTAGATGTTTTTATGATGGTGACTTTGTGAGGTTAAAGGTGCTGTGGTTTTACATTTACAAGGCTTCTTTCCTCTTAAATGTAGACTTGTTAACTTCGTGCGGCGTTCTGGACGAGCCTTTAAGTTTCTGAGCTTCTGTCGCCCCCCTTTGTTGCCCCAGGTATGAGACTACGTCAAGCGACGACTCCAGCTCAGAGGACAGCAGCTCCTCTGGGTCGGACGAAGAGGAAGAGGAAGAGGA